AACATTAGGATGCAGGGGGTAGGAAAAGTCATAATCAAACTAATTATTAGAGCTGTTGCCATGGGAACAAAAGCTGACCTCACCTAATGGGATAAGGCTTGGTGTTGTTGTTGTTGTTGTTGCCATGGGAACAAACTTCATGCTTTTAGTTGAAAAGCTCCTTTTTGCTTGGGAGGCATGCTTTGATGATGGTTTTACACTTTATTTCTTGAGCTCTCTTATCTATATATATATATATATATAATTATTCATGATATAGTGGTTGATATGGAAAGTTAAACTTTTTCAGAAGTGGCTTCAACAACATGGTCCTTTTGATGCAGTTGTAGATGGTGCCAATGTAGGCCTTGTCAGCACGCATAATTTCAGCTTTTTGCAGGTGGGTGCTAAGTTGCTAACTTTATTAGCACATTGCTAGGAAATCCATTTGAAAACTTTTCTCTTGGTTGCAGCTTAACACTGTTGTACAGCAATTGCAACAAATGAGTCCCTCAAAAAGATTGCCACTTGTAATCTTGCATATAAGTCGGGTTACTAGTGGTCCTGCTCGGAAGCCACATAACAAGAAACTCTTAGAATATTGGAAGAAAAATGACGCTCTTTACGCTACACCTCAAGGTTCCAATGATGACTGGTAATGAAATACTTCTTAAGTATTTAAAGTAAATCGACTTGTCTAATTTCAGTTCATTATACATTGTAGAGTCTTTCATGCCATTGGTCTGAACAAGTATTGACCGGAACAAGTTCATTTTCCTAATCCCGAAGTTTTGTTTTCTCCTTTTAATTTTTCAATTTTGTTTGTCAATAATATATCACAGGTACTGGCTATATGCAGCTGTTAGCTGTAAAAGCTTGTTGGTGACAAATGATGAGATGAGAGATCACTTGTTCCAACTATTAGGTTCTAGTTTTTTTCCAAGATGGAAGGAAAAGCATCAGGTACTTCTTGTTTCAGGGAATTTCATATAGAATCCTATAAAACGAATTCATCACAAGGCTAGTGTGAAATCTATAGGTCTTCTCTACTTAAGGCTACTTATAGCCACTCTGCAATGAAAAAGATGTAGTTATCTTTCTTCATCTTTACTCAACTATAGGTAATGTAGTTGACATATGATAATGTAATTATCCTTCATTTCATAACCACACAATTGTAGTTCTCAAGAGCTTAAGCCAGTAGCACTAGTGTATTACTTGTACATCACCTCTCTTCTATTAATGACCAAGCTTATTTGTACTTTTGACTCGAAGAGTGAGAGGATCGAGATGCTTTGATGACTTGCAGGTTAGGCTGTCAACCTCAAATAATGGGCCTTCCCTCATCATGCCTCCACCATATTCAACAGTTATTCAGGTACAGCTTTTTGTGTCTTGTTCAATTGATTGAATATAGAATTGTATGTTTTCACCATGGTATTGAAAACCGGACTGATCATTGAATTGGTCAAGGTATTGGTCAAGAATTAATGCTCAAAACTGTAATTGAACAGTGATTAAATCAATCAGAAGCAAAGCATTTTATTTAATTGGTTAAGGCACTGATTTACAATTTACTGGTTCAACCAGGCAGGTTGACCCAAATTTTCATTCTCTGGATTTTACCAGGCCAATGGCCTCGTGAAGATAGAAACAGACCATTTGGAATATGTGATAAGTTTGATAACTGATAATAGACCTCTTATCTTTTGGCTCAAAAAAAAAAAAAAAAAAGATAATAGGCCTCTTATCAAGTGATCATCCAGTTTTCATTATTTGATGTCAATTGGGTTAGAATGAAAATAAAAAAAATGGTGGGTTGGCCTCAGAAATCATTCATATTTAATTCTTGACAAGTTGGGGGCTGTCTTTCGTTCTTTTTATTTTGACCAACAGTTAGGAGTTGGTTTATTTAGGGAGTGGATCCTCTGAAGTTGGAAATTCATGAATTACTTGAAGTTTACCTTTTACAAGGAAAAGGGAAAAGATTTTGTCTTATAAAAAAATAATAAAATGAGGGAAAATATCAAGAAAGGAAAATTTTACATAAATTCATGGATCTCAGATCTCAGTTTTAGAGGATTTGCTCCCATTTATATATCTCTATTCTGCCATACTCTCATGTCATATAGGTTAAATCTGTTTTATATTGACAGTTAAGGACTTAACTCTCTTTCGTCCGGAATCGGGGCTTGCTATGAAGAAACATGGGCTGATTCCACATTAGAAAAATTTTAAACAGATAAAATGGAGCCTTTCTGCATACTTTATCGATATTCCCTTGGTTTCATATTATATGAAACTCTTACCCAATGCACATCTGCCAAGATAAACAGTTAAGAGCATGGAAATCTCAGTCAAACCGCCGGTTAACCTATTAAACTTGTGTCTTGATCGGTTTAATAAAATGCTTTGTGGATGATTGGTTTGATCACACTTCAACTACAATTTTGGTTATTAAGCCATGAACCAATTCAAAGAGTAGTCTGGTTTTCAGTACCTTTTAAGAGCCTCTATGTTTTTCAACTTTGCCTTTAATACCAATTATTGATTATTTGTTTATAATGATTACTTCTCCTAGGCAAGCGGTTTTTGACTCCTAAGGACATTTAGATGAAAAAAAAAGAGCTATTAATTGATCTTAAAATTCTGTAAAATATCTTACATATTAAAACATATAACTTTTTGGAAAAACATAGTTTTTGATCCTTGTATTTTGTTTTCATTTTGCTTTTGATCCTTGTGCCTTTTTTTTCAGTATTTCAGGTTTCTATATTTTTGTTTTTTGTTATTTTTGGTCCCTTTAAGGTTCCTAAATTTTATTTATAAAGGGACTGAAAATAATGAAAAACAAAAGTGTAGGGACCTAAAACACAAAAAAAAAAAAGAGAGAGTACAAAGATCAAAAACAAAATGGGAGCAAAGTACAGAGATTAAAAGCTGTATTTTCCCTAACTTTTTTGAAAAAATGCTTTATTATAAAATGGAGGGAATAGATGCTGTTCATGGAATGGAGGATTAACATTTGTGGTTAATATAACTGAACTGCAGGAATCAGCCAATGGTAGTTGGCATGTGCCAAGAGTGAGTGATGATGATTATGGAACCCCAAGGCAGTGGTTGTGTGCAACCAGATCCACAAATATATCATCAGTACATCAATTGTTTACTTCTCCCTCCGCATCTATGGCTGCTTAGGGATATGAGCTTGAGGTCTTTCAATTTTGGTTCCAGGAATGTGGATTTTATGTTATTCATTATTATTATTATATTTCGGTAAGAACAAAATGTAAAATAAACACAATTTTTAATTTAAAAAATTAGAAATGCCAAATTTCAAATTTAGATTATTCAAATTGAATATAGACTCAGTACTTGAAATGCATTTTTAAAAAAAAAAAAATCAGTACAATTTGGTTGTTAAAGCAGGGAGCAATTATATATGATGAAAATTGAAGCTAACATTGGAATTTGGTTCAGGAATATGGATGTTGTTATTTATTATTATTATTATTATTATTATTATTATTATTTCAGGAAGAACCAAATGTAATATAAACACAATTCTTTAATTTAAAAAATCAGAAATGAAAATTTTCAAATTTATGCTGTTCAAATTGAATGTAGACTCAGTAATACAATTTTGATGTTAAAACAGGGAGCAATTATCTATGATGAAAATTGAAGCTAACATTGGAATTTGGAATTGCAATAGACAACAATTGACGCATGACAAGGATAACATTGTCTTAAACAGATGCAACAAAAATTTTCCTTTGAACAACTTTCGTGCACTTGAAAAAATTCTCCAAGATTGCAATATTGTTTGAACTTCACTTTTTGAACTAAGTTAACAAAGTTTAAAAATTAAAAAAAGGTTATATAGAGTTCAAAAAAAATTATATTAGTTATAACTTACAGATGATATGATTTTTTTTTTATAAATTTTATGTGCTTTATTGGTTATAAATAATGTGATTTTTTTCACGAATTATAATTTTTGTTATCAAATATCTGCTTCAAACATTGAAATTACTGCGTAATTCTCTCCCGGCCAACGAACTTTTTAGAGCTCATCATTTAAATGCTGTCACTGTGCTTTTTTTTTTTTTTCGCTCTGTCCTTTTAGTTGCCTAGAAAATGAATCTCTAGATCATGTTTTCTTCTCATTCCTTAGTGTTAAGGCAGTATGGTCTGTAGCACTTTGACTTTCCATTAAAACTTCTGTAGCTGTTCAAGCTAGACGGCCACAATGGATGATTGAAATATTCTTATCCGTGATCTTACTTTGAATGTGAAAAGATGAAGGAAATTAGAAGAGAAATTTTTAAAAAATACTAAAAAAATTATTAATTTTGGAATTTCTTCTAACTCTTCCCTCCCTATTTTCTTCCTAGGTTTCCTCCATCCAAACCAAACCCAAAAGGTTGGAAATTATATCTCTATTATTATTATTATTATTATTGAGGAGAATTAATTTGGAGGTCCTTATAGTTTTTTTCAATGTTGAAGATCTATTAAATTATTAATCAATGAAGGTTAAACTAATAATGAATTATTAAATTTCACAAAAAATAATTTTAGAGTTTATAGAAAATTTAATTTAATACTTTCAACTAAAATCAAAAAAAAGAAAATTTTAGTACACTGTTTAAATTTTTATAAATTTTTTATGAAAATTCTACAAATATAAAGACTATTTAAAAGACAACCTAAGAGTTATAACAATTATGTAATTAATTCTAAAGTTATATAATCATTTAATAAAATTATAAAAGTTCTTATTTTTGTTTTTTTTAAATAATTCAAGGATTTTATTTTTCAAGAGTTAAAATTTTAATTGATCAAACCACAAGGAATCAATCAAAACAAAATAAACTATAATGACTTAATTTAAAATTGAAAAAAATTATAATAACTTGCAAATATATTTTCCTTTATTATTATTATTATTATTATTATTATTATTATTATTATTATTATTATTATAAAGTTTATTGCCACAAAAGGAACATTGCAGTGCATCAAAGTATCACTGTGCAGCATCCCATTAATGTAATTTGGGAATTTAAAAGGCATTGGCAAGAAAGGAATCAAAATCTGAGAGGAGCAGCAAGGTGAGACATTCTTCTGGTAATAAGCGAAATAGTCATTCAGATTTGAATTGCTGGGTCGTAATACCCAATAAGATATAAGATTGGGGAGATCTGCTTCAAGCAGAGTTCCAGAAATTTACAATTTACAGGAGATGAAATGTAGGCAGGCGATGGCTTTAGATTGCAAACTCCTTTATCAAGCCTGTCTGAGATCTGCAAGAATGCGCAGCCCAACAGCTACATACTCAGATAATTTTGTAAAATAGTCTTTCATGCCCATGAGTTTTATTTTGTGGTTTCTTTTCTTCCCAGACACAGTACCATGTGGAGATTGGAATTAGAAAACATTGTATCAAAATGCTTGCTACACTGACTAAAGTTATCCCTCCGCTAAGTGAACTGTCCGCTACATTGTTGGACCATCCAATGATTAAATTTAACAGTTTCAGATTAGACACGTAGAGGAGAGAAACTGGACTTGTTACAAAGACCAACTCATTTGCAAGAGGATAAGACATTAATAGAGCAGCTAGAATAAACAAGTGAAAATGAATGATGGAGACTAATAATCTCCACCTCTGTATGACTCACGTTTCTGGGAAATCATGAGCAAAGATGAATACTTCGTACCAGCTATGATGGCATCATATAAGGGATGAACAGCACATGCAGTTACTCTTTCAGATAAACCAACAAATCTGTTCCGATTCTTCACTCCCGACATTCCTGTTTATCCTCCCTGAAAGTAAGTTTTAATAGGTAGTTAATATATATATGTATACATACTCATCTGGTTCTATTTACAACACTTCCAAAATAATTCACCAAGATTAAGGAAAACTTTAAAACTCATGAATTCTATCCAAGAATTTAATAAGTTTTTCATCTTATCCCAATTAAATATATCTCTTTTTTTTTTATTTCACCACCTAATATCCTAGGAAACCTGAGGTATTACCACTTCCCACTTAGACTAATCCAAAACCCTACTGTGTGGGACCATTATTACTAACAGCAGTGTCACGAGTCTCAGAATATATTTTCAATAGCATACTGTCTCTTACCAACATTTGATAGAGGGTAAAAGGAGAAAATTATAAAAGTTAATGATGTGATTTATAAATAAAGGAAAAAAAACTTTGCTCCTCGCCTTACAAATAGGACAGGAGGGAGTGTACATATAAAGAGCAAAATTTATGCACCTAGCAAATTTTGATAGATGAAGATACTTTCATAGGTATGAAAAGATATATAGAACATAAAGATCTCTTGTAAGTACATGCAAGTCTCAATCATATTTTACAGCAAGACAATAACTCAGATGAAGTATTTGAGTTTATGTTCTCAATGTCGCAGTGCCTTACTTGAAATCCACATGGCATGATGAACTTGCGCTGGGATAGAAATCCAGGAGATGAATGCCACATTCTGATGATGAACCAACTACATAGATCTGCACTTTGTTACAGCAAATACTTATTTCATGTTTTCTTGAGCAAAAAATAAAAAAAAGAGTGCTTGCAGGTCCATAAAGTAATTAAAAAGGGGACCTCTATAGGGAAAATAATGACACTCGATGATCCCCAATTTAAGAAATGAAAATTAATGACCAAGGACTTTTATTGTTTTTTCCCCCAAAAATTTTCAAGGACTAGCATGCTCCTACTCGGTTGAAAACGTGGCAACTTGTCAGAACTAGAAACTTAGTTACAGCAATTAGAAGTTCCGTTATAAATACACAAAACTTAGCTGAAGACTATTCAAAACCCATTTTCAAAATTTTGGTGTAATTTGACTTGTAAGATCTAGAAGTTTAATCAGAAATCATGAACAATACAATTGCGAATAATAGAAGATTAGTTTTTAACAATTGAACTTTTGTTTTGTAAACGTCACCACGCTTCCGAGCGAGTAGGGGTATTTTGAATTTTGATCCATAGAATTGTTTATAAAATCTAGGATCTCAACCCTCAGCTGTCATTTTTCAAATTGAGGGTCTTTGAGTTTTATTATTTTTCAAATTGTCATTTTCCCTTTTGAAGTTCATTCAAAATAATACAAGCAGCTTCCACAACTAACAAAGTACCATAACATAAAATACAAAAGAAAAAAGAAAGAAAACAAACTGAAACAGGTAAGACGACTCAGGTGAAAATGTTAGCAGTATAATAAGATTGAAGAAAACAAAGTATAAGTGCAACAAGAAAAGTGCATTAGAAATTCTCACCGAACATGTGGATAACCATGATGGTTTTCTAATATATGATGGCTCAGCTGAAACGTAAGAATCATTTCTAACAAGAAACGGACAGTAAATACACAATGATTAGATTTCGTACGGAAGGCCTTTCGATAAACAGTAGAAGAGCAATATATGTTATGAACTTACAACCAAGCAGGTGGGGGGCAATGAATATGCGTGACTTTAAGATTATAAATATCCAGAACGCCTGACCTACGTCAAATTATTATGGAAATTTTAACTAAAATCAGAAATGATGGGAAACAATTCTTTCTGACTTATCCCCAAAAAAAAAAAATGATAGGAAACAATTACTTCATAAAATTCAATATAAAGAAACAAAGTTAGATGTACATCATGATGACATCAAATAGAACTACTGATATTGGCATAACATTATCTAGTAACAATAAGTGATAACTACATAAAATCCCATGATTTTAGAGCCTTAATCCTTGCTAAAATAATGGTAGTTTCTGTACGCATAGAATAATGAAAATTCTCATTATAATTCTTGGAGAGATGGAAATCAAGCACTTTCAAAAAAAAACTATCTTAAAGACGGAAGAACATGTTAAGTTATTAATATGTGAAGGAATAGATGGCTGTTGTAACTAGTAGTTAGTTTGTTGAGAGCTAACTAGTCTATAAGATTCTAGAGAGAACTTACCAGCCATCATCAAGGTGGAATGCCAACTGATATGGGCAAGATGGATTAAGATTGATAGAGTGTATCTCCTTTGGAATGATATCAGATTGCGCCTGCATAACAATATCTGTGGTTTAGCATAAATTAAAGGATGCACAATAAATAGTATTGTTGTACAATCTCAACGTCTTATTATATCCTATAACCTGGTGGACCTTAGGATCTTCTTTGACAACTAAGTATAAGTAGTTACATTTTCTACAAAGCTATTGCATTAAATATGAAATCTTCATTTACTATGTA